AAGACCACAAAATATTTGATAACATCCCAGAATCCTCAAAACATAATCTCAAACTGGTGTGTACAATCAAGTCGGCGCCTTCCCGCGATCCTAAGAAGTACCTGAAACATATATCACACAACATTGTAAGCACAAAACTTAGTGAGTTCCCCAAAATACCATGCACAAATAATTAGCCTCTCATGGCTATATCTCGATAAGGACCCTCTGTTCACGTGTCTCAGTGAAGACCCTCCGGTCTCACAGCTCAGGTCGGACCCTCCAGTCCGATATCTCAGTGAAGACCCTCCAGTCTCACAAATCGGTTTGACCCTCCGGTCCTAACTCAATAAGGCACATATAATATACATCATAAATCACAAAGACAAAATGCATAATATCATATAACTCAGAATAAGCACATAAGACCCTCCGGTCAGTAACTCAAATAGACCCTCCGGTCGATACTCAGATAAGACCCTCTGGTCACTCAATATTACCACTCAGGTAAGTATAGTGAAAAGACTCACCTCGTAAGCAAAGCAAGTATGTCTTGTACTCAACGATCGGTCTAGACTCCGCCTACATATCATAATCATCTCTAATTAACACTTTATAACAATCACACTAAAGATGTTAGGCTAATCCCTTTTCTAACTCCCAGAAAGGGTGAAAGACCATTTTACCCCTCCATGGTCTCCATATCCATCACTTGACCAAACCCTAAAAGTCAACGGAAGTCAACACTCGAGTCAACAGTCCGTGTTGACCCAACTCGTCGAGTGCACCTATGCGACTCGTCGAGTTCCTCCTGTTCTCAGAAAATCGGGAGAACTCCAACTCAACTCGCCGAGTTGTCTCATCAACTCGTCGAGTTTGCACGTATCCATACTTTTGGGGAAAACCCTAACCGAATCGTCGAGTTGGCTCATGCACTCGTCGAGTCCCTTAGTCCATTTTCTCATTCAGACGCTTATAAGCAGAACTAAGGCTCCATACTCTAGATCTAGCCTTCCAAGGCTGAAATATCACGTAAAGCTGCAAGCTTTACGTCCATACATGGCATCTATGGCTTAAAATGCCAAAACAAGCTCTAGAGAGGGTTTAATGCATGGAAGCTGGCCAATAGCTTGATAAAGCTTGAATCTTTAGGCCCAAGGGACCTCATACTGTCCAGATCTGAAGTCCAACTCCATGGCAAGCTCAAACGACTTAAGGACCCAAAGAAAGGATGGAAAATGGCCATAAACTCCCTAGAGAAGAGATCTAACCAAACAATAATCAAGGTGATAACTTTTTTACCTCCAATTAGTAGTTAGCACTAAGAGAACACCAGATCCAAGGGCTTCCTCTCGTTCCAAGCCTTTTGCTCTTCAATCTCCTTCCAAAAATGCACTAGAACATACAATCTTAGCCTTTCTCTCTCTCACAGATGAATACAACTCAATTAGGGTTTCTCTCAGTGTGTCAAAATGATAAGGGAGACGGAAATGAAGGCTTAATGTCCTTTAAATAGGGTACAAACCCTGGAAATTAGGGTTTTCACACTCAGCACCTACTCGTCGAGTTGGGTCCTCCAACTCGTCGAGTAGACCCTAAAAATCACGCGGCTATCTTCATCTCTACTCGGCGAGTTGGGGCATCCAACTCGTCTAGTCACCTTGACAAAATGAATATAACTTAATTAAATATTATACCTGAGAGTCGGGATGTTACAATTAAACCAATTTAAAAAACATTTGTGTCTAATGGTGACATTAACCCATGCAAACTTGTAAAACAAATTGGAAAAAAGAAAATTGTTCCAATAAAAATAATATTTGTTATCTTGTTTTTATAGAAAACATACAGGTAAGGGGTGTTTTCCTACATTAAAAGTTTGAGCTACCATAGACCCAACAAAATCCTCCCACTCACTTGAAGCAGTTGCTGACTTTGTTTTTCACTACCTTCATTTAATAATTAAATAGAATATATTGGTACTACTACTTTTGTTCTAAAAACACACTCTGAAACTGCTTCTTCTTCCATTTGCAAATAAATTTTAAATGGCTTCTCAAATCATCTTTCTCCTATTGCTATTACTACTACTACTCACTTCCCATTCCTCCTCCTCCCGCCGGATCCTCCATCAACCTTTCTTTCCGGTCATCGATTCTCCTCCTCCACCACCCATCACCACCCAAACTCCGTCGCCTTCTCCTTCCCCTTCTCTACAACCACAACCACAACCACAACCCAAACACCCTTTCTCTTCACTAACACCACCAGAAACTGACAACAACCGCCGTTTCTTCCCTTCATACACCTCCCCACCAGAGTCTTCCACCACCACCACCGTCCCTTCCACTTCTCTCCCCACTTTCCCTGCAAATATCTCTTCCATTATTCTCCCATCGTCATCGTCTTCCAAATCCCATGTCTCCACAAAGCTTCTTCTTATTTCCCTCGCTTTCTCCCTTCTTGCTATCGCGTTTATTGCTGCGGTTGTTGTCTCCCTTGTGTACCACCGCAACCATAGTCACAAACCTCCACCTTCCGATAGTCTCCGGTTGTTTCCGGCTAACCTCCCCACCTCTGACAAACCCCCGCCGCCTCCTACTCTTCCACCAAACTTCTCCACCCCCAGCTCCGAGTTTCTTTATCTTGGTACACTCGTTAGTCCCTTGCACGACCAAAAACTTCTCAAAACATCCGGTCACATTACCAATGCCCCCGCCTCCGCCTCAGCCGCCGCCACTTCAATCGATTATAACATGTTGGGTTCGCCGGAGCTCCACCCGCTCCCGCCATTACCCCGACAAGACTTCCATCACCAACACAAACTGGACGAGGGTTCTTTCACCGACTCCGAAGTGGAGGATCTTGGAGATTTCTTCTCTCCAAAAGGATCTCCGGTCGCGTTTCAACGCCACAAGACGGTGTTGCCACCTCCACCTCCACCGCCACCGCCATCTGGGTTCAGCGGAACACAAAGAGAAGAAAAGGTTTTGAAGCCAAAGTTGAAACCTTTACAATGGGATAATGTAAGAGCAAGCTCAGAGAAGGCAACGACATGGGATCACTTCAAATTAAGCTCTTTTCAGTGAGATTCATCTTCTCTGCTACCTCCATTACTCTTTTCATTACATCGCTTAATTTCTACATCTAATCGCGATAACATAATCACATAGGTTGAACGAAGAAATGATACAGACATTGTTCATGGCGAACTCATCCAAACCTGCATCAAACCCTGACATCAATCAAAAAATGGTTGCCGATGTAACCCAAAAGAACATTGTCCTTGACCCACACAAATCCAGAAACATCGTTATACTTTTAAGGGCGCTTAATTTAACCATCGATGAAGTCTGTGAATCCATTCTTCAAGGTATCACCAAACAATTCCACTTATCCTACTTAATTTCATGATTGAATCATTCATACTTAATCTGTGTTAATTATTCGATATAAACAGGTAACGTTGATACCTTAGATTCTGAGCTACTTGGGAGCTTGTTGAAGATGGCTCCAACCATGGAGGAAGAAACTCGCCTGAAGGAATTCGATGATCTTGATCCAGCCGAGAAGTTTCTGAAAGCCGTTATCCAAATACCATTCGCATTCAAGAGGGTGGATGCCATGCTCTACATATTAAATTTCGATAATGAAGTTGAGTACCTCAAGGGATCCTTTAAAACCATTGAGGTATATAACTATATACCACCTTTTGCTGTTTTGAATCCATGGAAGTCATGTAATCGATTTCATATGTTAAAAAACTTTGTTTCATGGTACTTCCAGATGGCTTCTCGGGAACTTAGGAACAGCAGGATGTTTATAAAGCTGCTCGACGCTGTGTTAATGGCAGGAAAGCAGATGAATGACGGAACTACCCATGCCTTCAAGCTTGATACTCTTCTCAAGCTTGTACACGTGAAGGGCAACGATGGAAAAACAACACTCCTCCATTTTGTCGTACAAGAGATCATTCGAGCAGAAGGTTTTCACCTTTCGGGGGGAGAAAATAATAAAAAATCAGAGCTCTGTGATGAGATCGAGTTCAGGAAACGTGGTCTTGAAGTTGTTTCGAGTCTCGGTGGTGAGCTTTCAAGTGTTAAGAAGGCTGCAACCATGGATTCCACCTTGCTTTCGAAGGAAGTAGAAAGATTAGCGATGGGGTTAACCAAGGTTGGTGAAGTGGTGGGTTTAAACGAACAGATTGGATCGAATGAAAGATTCTCAGACTCCATGAACGTGTTCTTGAAGAAAGCGAAGGGTGATCTGGTTAAGATTGTTGATCAAGAGCGGCTATCCATTTCAATGGTGAAGGAAGCTACTGAATACTTTCATGGGGAGTATTCTGCCATGGAAGAAGGTGAAGCTTTGAGGATTTTTATAGTGGTGCGTGAGTTCTTGTCAGTTCTTGATCGAGTGTGCAAGGAAGTTGGGAAGATCAACGAGAGAAGCACAGTTGGGATCCCCTTACCTTTGCGAATGAGTCAAAGTCTTCCTGTATTTCCTAAGTTCAATGGAGGACAACAGTTTGGGTCATCAGATGGAGAAGATGAGTCAGTTTCGGTGTAACTGGTATAAATTTTGGGTATTGGATTTTGGTGCAGTTTTCTCCTGTACAAAATCGTTTTAGCGTGTTTAGATCTAAATATTATTTTCTTTAGTTTGTCTTGTTACAATTAATTAACTAAGATGATAGTTGATTACCCTACAAACTCTTTTTCTCTTTTGTTTAAAATAAATTTTGCATCCGATCAAAGTCCAACACCAAACTAAACTTCCATCAATGCAAATGTCAGAAAATAAAAGAAGAATCGATGATACCAACATGCAAGAATTTGTAACAAAGGTTACTTTATGTCAAACACGCAGCATACAAGAGTCGCTTACGTATAATATATGTTCATGTGTTTTTTTTATCTCTTGGCACTACTTTTTACATCACTAACGCAAAATAAAAGCCACTTTCTTTTAACGTATCACTCAATAAAATTGCATTTTGTAACACTTGAATTGCCTATAAAGCGTGACAAAAAAAAAAAAAAGCACATAAGCCTCTCTCTCTACAATATGCAAAAATTTGTAAATGACACTCGTGAATTATTATCATATCAATCCACATCATGTGCCTTACTCCCCAACTTTACTATATCTTCGACAAGTATTTTCCCATCTGTTAATAAAAAATCAATTAGAGAGTTTTTGATAAATATATATAATTTATATTACTAAATAGCAAATACTAACCTTTATCTTTTGAAAGGTTGCTAATAAGTTCTTGAACACCTTCCTTTCCTAAAGTATCTTTCAAGTATATGGCTGCAGATGCCACTTCTTCAGGGGTAACTTTTCCATCATAATCCCTGTAAAGTCAACCGGTTAGTCAACCTTACTATAAATAGTATAAATTAAAATCATACATTTATATTTAATAAATTAATTATTTATAAACCAACCTATCAAGAACACGCCAACGATCACCAATTTTCGCATCCACATCATCGATTTCTTTCTCAAGTTTTTGCAGCATAGCATCAACCTAAGCCACAAAATGTCATTCAAAGGGCAAAAAAGGAAAAGGGTAAAAACGGAAACTTACCCTGTTTATAAGAGCTGATGACACCTCATCATCTACATGTTCCTCACTTGAATTATCAATTTCCTCATGGATATGAGCAGCTTTATACGCCTTCATGATCTCCTTTTCACCATCCCTTCCTTCTTTATTATCCATCATACTATGATACAAATTTATCTAAAACCATACAAAATTACCAAAATGCCCTTGAGTAAATAATATGAAGAAGAAGGGTAAGAAAACATACCTCTTTGTTAACAAGCCTCAAAAACTCTTCACGCTCTCTGCTAACAGACTGAAAAAAACAACATTTTTTTAGAAAATTATAGAAAGAAAAATATAATTAAATTAAGTAAAATAAAATGTCTGAATGCTTACAGATGCAGAAGCTAAAACAGCTAAAGCTTCACTGACTTTACAAAGCTGTTCTTGTTTTTCTAAAGCTCTTGCTCTTGCTTGTTCTTGAATTTCTGAAGATGTTGGATTAATCATTTCTTCTAATGCAATATCTTTGTTGTTTTCAATCGATTGCTTCATTTTAGCTTGTTCTTCTTCTTCTTTCTCTTCTTCCTCCTGTGAGATACAAAATGACCATTTTACCCTTACATAAAGAAAAAATAGTAAAAAGACCATTTTACCCTTACATAAAGAAAAAAAAAGTAAAATCACCATTTTACCCTTACATAAAGGAAAAAAAAAAGTAAAATGACCATTTTACCCTTACATAAAGAAAAAAAAAGGTAAAATGACGATTTTACCCTTGCATAAATAAAAAAAAAAGGTAAAATGACCGTTTTACCCTTACACAAAGAAAAAAAAGGTAAAATGACCATTTTACCTTTACATAAAGAAAAAAAAAGGTAAAATGACCATTTTACCCTTACATAAAGAAAAAAAAGGAAAAATGACCATTTTACCCTTACATTCAGAAAAAAAAGGTAAAATGACCATTTTACCCTTGCATTCAGAAAAAAAGGAAAAATGACCATTTTACCCTTGCATAAAGAAAAAAAGGTAAAATGACCATTTTACCCTTACATAAAGAAAAAAAAAGGTAAAATTTTGGATGGAAGAAAACCTTGATGAGTTCCTCTTGCATTTCAAGAAATTCTAATTTTCTTTTTCTTTCTGAAACAGAATCTTCAGAGGGCAAAGAAGTAACTCCAACAGTGTCCACAACTTCATCTGGCAATGAAGATAATGTGGCTCTCACAACTTCTTCAGGCTTTAATTTCCCAGAAACAGTGAATGCTCTGTAAATATATAAAGAATTTTTTTATAAAAAAAAAAAAGGGTAAATCCATAAATGAATTATGATTTATGATTTATGAATCCAATTTACCTTGAAAGAATCAAGAGTGAAGATGGAACTGAGTGATTCAAAGACAAATCCAACCAATCACGAAGCTGCAGAAAAAAGTTTGACCAAATTAATTTTTTTTTTCCAAAAATAATTTTTTTATATAAAAAAAAAAAAAAAAAAAACCTGTTGACGCATTTCATCAACTGAACGTAATCCAAGCATGCCTCTTTCTCTACAATCTTCACGAAGTTCTTCTTCAGAAAGAGCATCCACACCACCTTCTGCTTGAATCATCTTATCATCATTCTTAATCCTACAAAAAAATAAAAAAAAGTATAAATTGTAAATAAACTGACCACATTTTAATGATTTTTATAAATAAAAGATGAATAAATTTATATACCATTGAAGTCTTTTTCTGAGCATGTAACGAAGGTAAGCATCTGTTCCAAAAGGTTGGATTCCCATATATTTGCACATATTCACTAATCGAGGCCTAATAAAAAGAATTTTTTTTAATAATAATCTAATGAGAAATTATATCATTTGCTGCATAATTCACTAATCTGACCTGCTGATATTATCGAGGGTAAGCTCGTCATTGAACAACTTTGCAAATCCCAAAATTTCATCATTAGCAACAGAAGAACCTTTTCTCACCTGTAAATTCGTTTATAAATGAAGCATATTTCAAAAAGGAACTGAACGATGAGATGAGACTAAATGACCATTTTACCCTTAATGGATAAGCTCATTAAGTGAAAAAGAAACAACCCCAAAAAGTATAAAGATTGAAGTATCAACTATAAGCTTACCTTGCTCAAAAATTCATCAAGATCTTCTGCTGTTTTCTTGATTTCTCCACTTCGAGTATTTTGGACCTCTTTAGCCATTTCTTTAACAGTATCTTGAAGAAATTTCGCGTATTCTATTCTTGCATTTAACCTCCTTTTCAATGCTTCCTACAAACATAATCAAATCAAGATGATAAGAACTTATGAAGTTGATAGATTGATGTTTGGAAGACCATATGAAGATATGAAGGAAAACCTGTTCTTTCATTTTGTCTTGAAAGGTAGAAGGTAACATATTGGGGAAAAGTTTCAAGAAAACAGGAAGTAAGAACTCCATGAAAGGGACAATAATGAAAACAGCAACAGGAACAAGACGAAAGATATCTGCTGTTGTTCTTGTTAGTTGTTGTCTCTCTCTTCTAGAAAGACTCTTTCCACCTGCAAGCTTAAGAAGCAATCTTGAACTGATCTTTATATCAACACCAAGAAGCTTGATACCCAACCAGTAATGCTTCAATGTTGATATAAATTCGTTTTTCCAGTGAACAAGTTTTATAGCCCAATCTTCCCTAAATTGCATAAAACACAAAAGAAATCATTGGTTTTTGACTTTGTTGATACAAAATAAATTTCAAAAATGTAAATCAAACCTGCTCATAGAAGCTATTGCTCTTAAAGCTGGGCCAATCCCCAATAGAATTGCCCATGTTCTTTGTAGAATGGATTTTGCAGTAGTCTTCTGTGATTCTGTAACTTGTTTGGCTTTTACTTTAGCTTTTGCAGTGCTTAAACCTTCAACAGCTTGATCACATTCCTCTGGTGATGCTTCCTTTCTCTTTTTAGAAACTTGTTCTTTATCATCATCTTCACCACGCATATCTGGTTGATGTGCTGTGGCCATTGAAGAAAATTTTGAAGATTGAAATACCAAATTCATCCTCATAGGTGACATATGTCCGAATGTTCCATATCCAGTAGTGGAATAGAATCTATGCGGGGTAAAGAATGGGAGTGTGGAAGCGTTTCTGATTTCTTCATGTCTTGTAAATGTTGCAGAGTCGGATTTTGTGGTGACCGGGTCTTTGAAAGGGGTATCTGGTGTAGAGCTTGAGTGACCTGCGTCTGAGTATTTGGCATAGTGGCCATGGCTCAGGGCTTGAATTGAACGACCAGAAACATTGAGGTAATCAGAGAGAAGCTTCCTTCGTCTCAAAATTGCTCTGGAAGCCATTATCCAAAAACCCTAAGCGATCAAAAGAAAAACCCTGAAACAAGCACTTCAGAGTTCAGAGATAGACACGTATCAATCCAAACCACCATACACTTTTCATTAACAATCAACCAAATAGAAGAAGCTTAATAACTTAAAAGACTCATCCCGAGTTGCGAAAGCGATTGTTCACCTAACCCTAATGAGCTCAGGAAAGGAAAAGGATGATGAAAAGGGACCAAATCAGATACCTGTACTAATTCGTAAGATTGATCACCAGCAGCCTACCAATAACAAGAAGACAAAAACTGCATCGAAACAGAACACAACATTATCCAAAAGATTCAGGAAATACAATATGCAATCAAAAGTCAATTTCGGCGACGAACTTCAACAATCAGCAAGATTAGAAAGCTAAATAAACAAATAAGTCGGAAGAACGCAAAAAAGAGTGAAATAGTTTGGATTAATCAGCAGGTTAACGACTTACAGTGGTGTTGTAGGAGGAAATGGGGGAATGAGAAAACTTGAAAGCGGAAAATGGAAATGGTGGTGGGGAGTAAAGTCTTATAGGGTTGCCTGCTAGTCAAGACAGCGAACGGGATTTGGATCTTCGAATATGCGTCATGGCTGAGTGTTTCACCTTATAATTATGAAATAAATCCATCTTGATATTATTTATTTTGGGATTTAAGAATGTAATGTCGACATAAGATAATAGATTTAATGCATATTAAAAAATAAATAACAATAATAAAATTGATATTTTAAGACACTTATGGCATGTTAGAATTTTGTGAATGCAGTCGATATTTTTAATTTGTCATAATTTTTCGCATTTATAAGTTATAATGTGAGTTGTTTAGTTTTGGGTAAATTACACAAATCGTCCCTTGTGTACATGCCGGAAAGCGTGTTTAGTCCTTATTTTCAAAAATTAACTCGGACCGTCCCTCGTTTGCATAAAACTTGCACTTTTCGTCCCTGATATACGTTTTTGTTGTGCATCTAGTCCATGACAGATCTAAAATGACCATAATGCCCTTTGTCTATTTCTTTTCCAATTAATTTAATGTTATTATCATTTTTTTTAATTAAAAAAAATAAATATGGCCCCACCTTTTTAAAACTCTTAATTTAATCTCTCTCTCTCTCTCTCTCTCTCTCTCTCTCTCTAGTTACCATCACCGTTAATATTCACCACCACCGCCGTATATCTGAACCACCACCAAAATCTCTATCTCCAGTGTGCCGCTGTCACCTACTACCATCTCACATCTTTGTCTAAAACCCTAAAAAACCACTTGAATCTCCTTCTCCACCACCATCAAAAGCTTCATTGTTCACAAATGCCTCACCTTCTTTGGAACTGTCACATTGTCGTGATTGCCGCCTCGCCGAAGAACGTGACCTGTTCATCAGATCTACACCATCGTCGTCTTTGTTGTCATCGCCTTCATCTTCGTGACTGTTTCTTTTCTTGAAAACCTTCTTTGTCTCAGATCTACACCATCTCAAATCTACACATTCTTTGCCACTACCTGTTCGTTGAAGCTTGCAGATCTCGAAGTGGTGGTTCGATGGACTATCAAATCGGGAGACAAAGATGGTAGTTCGTCAAAGATCACAGATCTGGAGGATGATGTGTACCATTTTTGTCTCAGAGGTGAGTTGCTTCGAACCTTCATTGTCTCAGGGTTGTAACATTACCGCCTTCATTGTATCTGGGTTCCGATCTGAGGTTTCTTTAACACCGTCGCCTAGGGTTTCGAATGCCACCTAGGGTTTCAAGTTTTGTTTGGTTAAGTGGTGGTAAATGGTCGTTTCTAGTTGTAGTCGACTAGCGGTTGTTCATGAGATGTTAGCGGTGATAAGTGGAGGCACCGGAGGTGGCTGGTGGCTAGAGGTGGATGGTGGCAGGAGGTGGGAGAGAAATAGGAGTGACATATGGTGGTTTCTGGTGGTGATGGGTGGTGGTTAATGGTGATGACAGGTGGTGGTTTCTGGTGGTGATAAGTGGTGGTTGTCGGAGTTGAGAAAGAAGAAAGAGAGATATAATAATTGTGGTGGTAGTGTTTATATTTAATTAAACAATTTTTTAATAGATTACTAATTAATAATTAATAAACAAATCAAAAAAGAAATAAACAAGGGCAAAGTGGTCTTTTTATGTGCGGAGGGACTAAGCGTGCAAGAAAAAACAACCCGAGGGACGGTACGAGTTAATTTTTGAAAATAGGGACTAAACACTTTTTCTGGCATATGTACGAGGGACAATTGATGTAATTTACCCTTTAGTTTTTATTCGTATATTGTATCATGTAGCTTAACATTCAAATGTTTCGCCTTCTTTATGTCATATTTGTTTTTCAACAACCTAAAATCAAAACTAAAATTATAACAAACTCAAATCAAAATTTTGAGTTTTGGGTTCATCGATTTCAAACAAAACTTTTAACTAAAATCATGAATTAAGGTTTGGTTTGGTTTCCCTCTTCGTTTTGGAACCAAACTAAAAAAAAAAACTACAGTTAATTTGATTTTTTATTAGAATACTCTCTAAAAAAGTCGTTGGCCTAACTGTATGGTGAAGTGTCATCCTTAATTATTTGAAAGTTTAAATCTCACTTAAAACATGGATGAAATTAAGGTGTATACTAATTACTAAGGTAGTGTTTGTTTTTTGTCTGCAGATCTGCATGACCTCTTCTGTCTGCGCCGCGCAGACATTAGCCTTCGCAGACTGTTTGTTTTTTTGAAGACTGCAGACCTAAAAATGTATGCGCGCCCTCTTCTTGGTGCAGATGTGGACCAGAGTCTTCTAACATCTTCAGACATCTTCAAGCCTAAAAAAACATATATATCTTTGTTTTTTTTTAAGTTTTTTTTAATTTATATTTTTTCAAACTTTATTAATGATAAACAATTTGAAAAAAAAAATTACAAAACTTAAAAAAAAACATTCGACGATACAAACATGATATTTTTGACAAATTTATAAATAAAGATTTATTACAATAATAGTCGTTGAAGTTGTTTATATAAATATGAAAAAAAAAATCATAATATATTCTTATATTTTTTTGCCAAATTTTGTAAAACATTATTTAATACAGTATCGTCAATTTCTCGAGAAAAAATATTTATGGTACGTTTTTAATGGATTTAATTGAAAAAACGAAGTTTATTTCCATCCATTTATGTATCAAATTCACTAATTATAATGTTTAGTTATAACTTTGCAACCAAAGTTGTTGGTTTTTATCAAATATATACGTTAATTCATACCATTTTTATTTTTATTTTTTATACAATAATACATAAAAGTTGATCTAGATTCGTTAATTATTTATAACAAGTCATAAAAATATTAAAAAAATCACTTTGAAGTTTAAAAAAATCAGTTTATTTAGATTTCAGTTTATTTTAGTAGCCCGCAGATGTTAAAAAGAGAAACAGTCTTCTTTTTTCAGACTGCAGACGTTTGGTCCACCTGTTCTACTGCAGAGGTCTACAGATGTGGTCCGCAGACTGCAGACATTTTGCCTCAGAAAAAACAAACAGCACCTAAATTGTCTTTCTACAAAAAAAAAGGTTAGAATACTCTCGGAGTAAACGTGGACAACACTACGAGGGTTAATAAGTTTGAAATAATGTGATGTGATATATATTCAAAGAAATTAAATTTTGGGTAAAATAACAAATAAGTTTGGAATTGGGCGTTCTAGACCGACAAAAAATATTTTTTCTAAAAAAAAAATTACATTTCAGATTTGACATTTCGGAGTTAAAAAAAATCGGAATTTCAAAAATAAATCTGAAATGCGATGAACAATTCTGAATTTAAGGAAAAAAATATTTTTTAGTGTAATCTAATAAAAAGTTAAACAAACATGATTAATGAGAAATATATATACGTAGGGAGTAAAATCAAACATCTTATTTAAAAACGGTAATATTAACCATTTCGAAATAGACATTTTAGATATAAATAAAAGATTTCTTTAGAAAAGAAAAAAGAACTCTAGATTTTGAAAAACAAGTACGCAATAAGAAATTCGAGAGAAGTCGGTAATTTTTCATAAACATAGAAAAAATGGTTATTTAAAATGCTTGTTTGGAAGGGTTACTTTAGTGAATTTCTCAAGAAAAAAAAATGTTATAATTGTTTTATTATGTGGAAAACTAAACAAGAGGGGCTCGAAATAGAGTATTTGATAATTACAAAATATGGATTTCGTTAAAATCATGTCGGTACATTTTGGGATAATTCACTATAAATGTTACGGCACAAAACATAAACCACATTAATGAAGAGTATATGGTTGTTCAATATTTTAAAAGAGTGAAAAAAAAAAAAAAGAATGGTCCCCGTGGTATGTCAAAACTCGTATGTTTGGGCCAAAACTCGTGTGTGTATATATATATAGGACCTACAAATCATCTTCATAAAAAAGGTTGCCGCCATTCCTTTAGTTGTCTCACGCTACGATCGACCATCGAAGCTCAAAGCTTTCAACAAAACAAAAACCGGTGTTAATAGCCTCGTAGATGCCGGAATCCCCCAAATGTAACGTCCCAAAAATCCAAGGTAAAATTTTCATTTTTAAAGCAGTAACTTATATAACAAATTGTTCTAAAAACCATTCAAGATAAAAATATCATTTAAACATCAGAGTAAAAGTTATCAATGCGGAATAAACTCTGGGGGATGTTGTGCAGTCACGTCGACCCCTTCCTTTTCGAACCAGAAGTACCTGAAACCATAAATATAAACCATAAGCACAAAGCTTATCGAGTTTCCCAAAATATCATATACCATACATACATCGGGTCTCACCCGGCATCGGGTCTCACCCGGCATCGGGCCTCGCCCGACACACTCATCAGGCCCCTCCTGGCATCAGGGTAACACCTGATTCAAGGTACTTTTTCATTTTGACCACTGGTATGTAAATATTTTGCAGATTTGGTCCCTAGGGGGCAGTTTTGCCAATTTTGGAAATCCTGGGAGTACGCAGGGCGTACTTCTCATACACGAGGTATACGCATGCAGGGGACAAACCCTAATTTTTAGGGTTTGGACCCTATTTAAACAACTTAATGAACCATGATCCTCTTATTTCTCAGCCTCCATATCCTTTTGACTCCTATTTCGAACCGTAGCCCCTCTTGAAGAGATTTGACCCTCGTGTGTGTGTTTTAGTGTGTGTTGGTGAGATTTGAGGAAGAAGAGCCTGGAAGAAGGAGTCTTGATCAAAGGAGAACTTGTAGATCCAGATTTCACACATCATTTCCAGCTTTATTGAGGTATAAAGCTTGGAACTTGC